GGAGAGGAGTTCACCACGGCAGAACCGACTCAACTTCTGCAGTATGCCAACACATCCTGAGTGCTGCAGCAGTGATGCCCCAAACGCGGAGCTCTGCATCTCCTCCTCTGCTCTCACCCTGCCCCGCTCTTGTAACTGAACGTGAGGTGCCTTCTAACACGGCTTAACTCAAGAATACCTTTTGCACCTGAAACTTGAAAGCAGCTTTTTTCCAAATCAGCATCCACATATCAGCAGACCTTAACACGGACAGCCAGGTTTACACTAACATTCCACTAAAAGTGGTGAATCCGTTTTAAATCTTAGCAGCTTATCATATTTTCAAAGGAAAAGGATTTTCCCTACTATTAAAGAAAGGCTCAATATAGCATAACTCAAATGCATTCCTAAAATAAATGGAATTTAGTAGTAGTCGCAGCCATTTACTGGCAGTGGGTTCAACTGAAATATACTCCCTATGCAAATGATCACACTGTAAGAAAATTACTCACCTAGAAATGGAACGAGGCTGAATTAATTAGTGTTAAAGTTTATAATCCCTCATTTTTACACAATAGTTACATGACCACAAGTGATGCATAAAAGGAGAAGGGAAAAAAAAAATGAAGTGTTTGGCTTCATTAATCAGTTTACTGATTTAGCTTGCAGAATTCATTCACATGCAGTGCTAGCTTAAAACCCCATATATTACAAGCCCAAATCCAAATCCTACCTGAGATACAGAACAAAAGGATCTAATTTTGAATTTATTTAAACAAACTATCTCGGGAGCTTAACGGAGGAAACAGAGGATGTGCAACACTGCAAATTTAAGGAAATACAGGAAATTGCATTTCAAAACTACATTCAAGACAGAAACCAACAGCAGAAGGAAGCAGCGTTAAGCAGCAAACACTTGACAAATGTGAGTGTTGCACAGGCTTTTACTAAGGCTTTATTAACAACACGTGATGCAATCCAACTATTCCTCACCAATTCATGCTTTTGAAGCACCACTCAAAGTTCACTAAGTATCTTTTACAAGAATCCTTTTGCCAATGCCCAAATAAAGCACAGTTTTGTCCCTTTCACTGATCATTTTTACAGCCACTGTCAGAAATCAGGCCTGAAACTCTTCTCTCCGACAACGTGGCCATCATCACTCCTGAAAGACAGAAACAGATACGCAAGACCTCATACCCTACATTCGTTACTCACAGACCGCAAACCCCTCGGATGGTGTTAAGTGTGGTGCTGGTATCTGCAAGGCCATTCAGATCAAAACCACACATCTGACCATGCTGATACAAAATGAGCCTAGGCTCTCACTGATCAATTAGTACATTTTTCTATCTATATAGTAAGTTATATTTTATTTAAGATCTAATTGTGCTTTCAAAGCTGCGTAAAAAAGCAGAATTGGAGTCAGATGTGAAATAAGTTACTACTACCCTCTTCCTCAACTAGTCTTTTGCTCAGGAGCCCTATAGTTTAAGGTACACAGAAAGGAAAAGAGGAAAATGAGCAAGTGTGTTATATGTCCTACACCTCAAGAGAGGCCGTAACAGATGTACAGAACACCTTCTCATACTCTGTTCCACATTATATACATCACATGCAGTTTGTTAGCTCTGGATTAATTGTCAACGAGTAAGATGTGGGTTGATTCTTCACTTGCTTAACCTCTAGCAGCTTGCTCTCCTGTGCATGAATTAATCCTAAAAAAATTAAAATTCAATTTTAAAAAAAAAAAAAACAAAAACAAACCACAAAAAGTAAGAAGCACTTTGATAAACAGGGAGGAAAGAGAGTGTTTCTTTAAAAAAGCCTCCAATGAGAAACTGGTATTACTTGGATGCTGATATACTATAAGCAGTCCTGGGTGGTAGCCTGCAACTGAACATAAACATTTTTCTAAGCACAGAGCATAACTTCATAATAACTACGTTATTCACTCGCCAATGTACAATGCTAATTTCACTCTGTCAGTCAAAATTCATAATAGAATTTTTTTTCTTTAATGGACAAACACTAAAAGCAAAATTATGGCTTAAACAACTAAACAGCAAGATCCCAGAGTAAAACATCTGAACTGCAAAATCAAGGAGGTCTGGTAAGAAAAAGACTGATATCAGCTATTAGGCAGCATTTCTTTTACATACATTTTTGAAGGAGCTAAAGCTGTGTTTTCTTGTCATCTTTATTCAAGTATTTCACAGCAGTTATATTACAAATTACAGTAAAATGTTCAAAATTTCCAGAAGTTCAAAAAAATTAAATAACTTACTTCAAACTAACGTAAAATGAAGTCAAAATGCAAAACATCAATTTAAACACAGTTCTGAATAAAACTATAGAATCCAAAATATGCCATAGTTGATGAAGGACGTCTACTTCATCCACAAAGTAGACACATGTTAATGAAACCAAACAGGACTCCCCAATGTCTAAATAACCCAATGTACAAGATACAAAAGATGCAAGTACAAGCCCAAATTCAAGCTTATGTTGTGATTACAAAATAAAATAAAAACAAAGCAAATGACTATCAGCTGCAGGACCTGCCATTCAGGAGACTGAAGGTAAAACCAGAGCTGACCCACCAACTTACTTAAAAAAAAAAAAAAAGGAAGACAAGATATTACAAAAAACAGTAATCCTATAAATACATTGGCATATGAGGAAATCAAGTAACAATACAGAGGACACAAAACAAAAAAATTAATCACAGGTGAGATTCAAGCTTGCAAATACAATTAACTCCATAGCCATCAACTTCACCCCAGAGCAACTCTATTATCTCCAAGACAGCCCCACCGGCCCCCCAGAGAAACCTCCTTTCTTCTGGCCGGCCACATTTCATTGACCCCAGCACAAGGACTCACACAGGAGTTTATTTGCAATTTTCACAACAAGAAACAAGGAAGAGAGGTCAATTTGTACAAACTCTTGCCAGAGCTATGTGGCAAAAAAATTAAAAACATACAAAGAGTAAACAAGTTTAGACCACATGGATAGATTAACAGCTGTTTTAACTCTATAACCACCAGACATCTGTAAAGGAAAACAAAAACTGAAGTGTGGTTATTTGGGCTAGGAAGGCGAGTATATCATTTTAGGTAAGCTGTCCACTAGAACATCTGGTATCAGCTACTCGTCTCTAAAACAACATGGCAGCTCCTCAATTAGTAAAGTTGCCTCTTGCGATTTTTCCCAATCAACAACTGACAGTAAAAATTTTCCTTTAGAAACCTGACCTTTTAGAACCATTTTTAATGCTAGGCATTAGCTTAAACTTGCTTTCACACTCACTGGTGACTAAAATTCTCAACTGTTTTAATTCATATAAATTTATTATCTTCTTAAAAATGTATGCAGTTTTATCTTCCACAAGTGCTGCTGTTACTTGAACAAAAACTTCTTTGAGTAAGTGAAACTGGAATAAATATTTTTAAAAAATTCTGCAGCAAGAACCTGAGACTTGCAAAAAACCCTTTTATCAGAAACTTGCTACAAAAAATCTGCTACATTTTATTTAATCAAATCTTAAAGTTTGTAACAATTTCCATCAAAATACAAAATGCTGTTAATGTACCAGACACAAAAATATCTCAAACAGGTATGATGCTAATAAATACTAAATGAAACATGGAAAAAAAATCCCATAATCAAATCTGAGATCAAAGAATCTCATTTAAAATGTGTTTTCTGCTTGTTTTTGTTGTTTTTAATCGCACTTTCCCACCTAAAAAATACAGTGTTTCTGCATGGGTTGCATTTAGAAGGTGTAACTAGATGTACATGAATGCTTAAAACCTTTTTCTGCCATCAGCTATAAAGAAAAACAGTGGCATTTGGGGGAGAAAAAGATCGAAGATAGAATTATGTTTACCATAATATACAAAGCACTTTGGATTACTGCAGTAGCCCAAGGCCCATGTTTTGTTTCTCTGCAGCGCTATACTACTATTCGCCATAGAGGTGGAGACAAGTACCTTAGCTTCAGTTTGTACATGGGAGCAGAGTGATTACAGTCCTCCATAAACACTGTTGGTAACTAAAATACAAAAAGCTGAGGTAGCTCAGTATCTCTGCAGTAGTCCAAGACTGGTTTCTCTAATGAAAAACTAATCACACTGTGTTGCATATTTCTGGAAAGACACTTCCGCAGCTACGTAGGGACAGTCACAATGAATGGTTAACGATGGTAACACCAGCCAACTTCTCTGAAACGCTTTCCACGTAGGTTTGAAATAAATCAGCCCAGGTAACGTTTTAATACTGAGCTTGCGACAAAACATGTTTTTCTTGAAACTGCCTAGACTGTTCTCTCCAGTTGCCAGAAAGGAAAGGGTTTGAACTACACGATTCAGACCCAGAGAACTTTGGTCCGAACAGATCGATTCAAAAGGCTGTCCTCCAATCCCCCCCCCATTAACAGTGCTTTGCACGGACCGAGTTGTGAAGCCTAGTTTAAGTTTTATTTTCAAGTCAGCTTGGGCTCCAGGACTTTGACCGACTATAGTGTCTTCTTACCTGCACTGCACAGTCCAAGCTATATTACAAACACGGAACTTCAGAAAGAAACCTGCCAGTATTAAACTTGGTTTTCTTAAAGAACTCAAAATGGAAAACGAGGAGATGGTGGGGAAAATGCTTCATTTTTAGCAACACAGTAGAGTTTCACTGTGTAACTTGTTTCTAAAACAAATATATACCAATGAAAAAGTAATTTCACCATTTTGGTAAAGTATGTGGCTTTTTCAGTGTGTCTTAGTTTAGTTCTGTAGAGTAAGACAGGCATTATAGAACCATAATACTGGTTGCCATCCAATGAAGAGAATACAAATCATCCTTTTGGAGATCTTCATTCTGAAGACAGCTTTCTAACACTGCCATTTGCTATAATCCAAACCAATTGATTAGCCTTATCTTTCTCAATTGACTAAAAGGCACATTAAAGGCAGTTCTAGAGAGCCTCATCTTCAAATTACTGTACATCCAGTTACTCAAGATTCCTACCACAATGCATCATTGCCTTCTTTAGAACAGATTTTTTTGTCCGTTACCCCAGAGAAGCGAAAAATTGGAAAAAAAAATAAAAAAGGTCGCCTGTTTAAAAATATTCAACTTAGGTCTGCTCTTTCCAGTTCTCTGTATGTGTTGGTCTCCACTTTGCCTGAAGTTTCCCCAAAGATAATGCATGTAGAGTGAACAAGAGCAGAAATGAGAACAGTTTCTGTAGCACCAAAAATCTCCAAGCTGTGGCATTGTATTCTTTATTTATATCAGATACAACTATACGAAGTTCCGTTTGGTTCTTGTAGGCTGGTTGGTTTCAGGTACCTGAGACAATAGCACCAAATTCAACAGAAAGAAAAAGGGAGAGCACTTAAGACCAAGGCTCTGCACATACTTGGTGCAAATGGAAACTGAATGGCTCAGAGGACTGCTCTCCCATGAGCAGTTTGAGAGGATAAACCCACCCATCTTGACGAGTTCACAGGAATGTTTCAAACACATGAACTGTTCTTTCCATCTCCTGCAAGAGACACAGAGCATCAATTATACATAAATATACAGAGACAGAAATAAAGTTACATTAGATAATCGTATTTACTGGGCTATTTTTTTTTAATCTGAACAAATAATTAATAGGAAAACGGGCACATCTGTATATTACCTGCTATCTGCTAACAAAATATGGTAAAAGAGGAAACTCATTAAAGAAGTATTAATGCAGAAAAGCACTCCACTATGACAGTCCATGAGAAAATCCAAGTGTATTAGGGTCACTTATATAATTAATGTACTCAATATGTATTAAGAAAGCATTGCAATGGCACACTGCATGAACTCAAGTCTTACTGCACACTTACGCTATTGGTAACCCAGCTGTAAATACGTATCTGCACAGTTTGCAGAATCAAAGTAAAGACCAGTCTCTACGTACTCCTGCTGGATAAATGTCTTTTTAATCTACCTAACATTTGGCACAGACTTTCAACATATTTTTAGGTGAAGATGGCAGAGGAATAGCATGAAAATGGTTTGAAAAGTATGTTGCAGGAACTCTACAATATCCCATGCTAAGGCCTTTCCAGGTTTTGTTGTAAAATATTCACAGAGAAAAATACTTAAGTGTTCAGTGACACAACTGGAAACTAGCAATTGTCCTTTTTTAAGCAGGGTTGGTTATCAGTTGAATCAGCAAGCTGATCCAAACCGCTCTACAGCTAGAAGAATTATTTTAGAGGGAACGCATGTCTAGAGTTATGATCAGCCTACGCCAATGGTGAAATGACCAACTTACTGTTGATGTAGACAAGGAGGCCTTTGATAGCAAACACTTTAGAGGCAAAGGATGACAGCGAAGCAGACAACTGGCTTACATCATGCTGTACTGGACTTTCCCAAGGGTATAATTACCAATCTAGAGAAAGTCTGCAAACTTTTAAGGTCTTGTATGAAAGTCACAATCAGCAAACTGCATGGAGCAGAGGTAATTTTTTTTTGGCCTAGTTACGCAAATGCAAGTACAGGCAACTGCAGCAATGTTGGCTCTGTGTGCCTATAAAGCAAGCACTACATCCAACTGTTATTCCTACCACAAGTGTGGAAACTGCTGCTACTCCATTTTCACTCCGCTAGCATGTGCTTCTCCATGCTGCTGTATTCTCTCCTCTTTTTCCTCCGTTCTTTTAGGTTAAATTCTTAATCCTTTTCTGACGAAAGTATTATTAGAAACAACCTCTGTTTTTTAAGTCACTACTACACTAAACTTTTTTGTGTTTATAGATACCTTCCTCAAAGCCTATTTAAAGCTTTTGCCTGCTAGTACAATAAATTGATAGATTAACTTAGCTCTTGAAAAACCAGTCTCACAAAATTCAGATAGAGAATAAAAGAAACTGTACAACATCACCTCTGTAAGTTGTGATTTGTCATAGTCTCTACGATGTCTGTAGATGCACTGACTGAGGAGCGAATACAATCTCTCAAGTTGGTCAACAGTCAGGTTGTCACTTTTCTTAACCACTAAATCAAGAAGTTTCTGGTGGAACAACAAAAGGTAAGGTTAACAGGGTTTTTATAATCACTTTTTTTATTATTTTTTAAGGACAAATCAGAAATGCAATCTCCTTTTGAAGCCCTATTTTGGAGGGACACATACAAATAAAATGGACCACACCTGGCTACCAGTAAGACCACTGCTTCCATGTAGATCCAAAAGGACTCAATGTCTCTTTTCACTTCTCTGCTTATACCCACACATTTTTTTCTTGTCTTAGATTTTATACTCAGTATAGCTGGGGTCATGTTTGTTCTGTTTGAATGATACTTCATCCTATTGTATCTTGGTCAATAATTATGACAAAGCAAACCATAAAAATTGCCTTGATAGCTAAAGCAGACATTTTGAAGAACTTGCACTGGCACGAAATTGTAAGAAGTACCGAATGGAAACACATTTGGAATTCCACAAATGTTGAAAAATGGTACAATAAAAGAAAGGGGGACAACACATGTAAAACTGCTCATAAACACAAAGTGGAAGTGTGTATTTTATATAGTAGCAGATAGTAAATTTTAAGATTTTTTTTTTCCTCTCTTAACACTTCTATTGTTTCCAAAGAGATTATCATCTGCACTCCACAGCAAGCAGGATCTAAATTTCATAGTAGGTCAAGCTAGTTTTTACAACAGAAGACAGCAAATTTTATTGTAACTTTGCTTAAAAAGAGACAAAACTGAAAGAAAATTAACTAGCAGGGGTTCAGTCTATGACACCAAAACATCAGCAGAAATTCCAATTTGTTTTCCAATCCGCTAACAGTTCTTTCCACCAAGTATACGTACAAGGGAAGAGAAAAAGGTGATGTTAACTCCTAATTACTAGGCACCCAGCAGTTCATCAGTAACTGGCATGTCCAATTAACACATAGGACTACCTGCAAAAACTGCAATTAAAATAGTGGACTGCTGTGCCATTACTGGATTTGTAAAGGTAGTAATGGCAGGACAGTAAGGATTCAGTAGTTTTATTAAGTTTTCACCCAAAAAACACTGATTGACAAATCATTTTCAAAAGTTAATGCTGCCATAATAATTGCTTGCAGTCAAAAATGAAGGAAATGTTTCTTCATAACAGAGTAAGGAAGCGTTTTTCATGGACAGTTTCATTAACAGTTCAACTCATTTTTCAGTTCTATTACCTTTAATCTGTCATGGTCAACAACTACAGAGGGTAAGGGATCCGATGGTTCCTCTGGGACCTGCTCCAAACTTGTGGGCTTTGACTGTTCTGTAGCGACTTTTCGTGTTTTCTTGCTTTTGAATATACCTGTAATTTGAAAAACAATTATCAGCACTGTCAGTTTCTCAAAACGAACAGCTTGTTTCTTCACTTTGGTTTGATTCTGCTTGTTTGGTTTGTTGGGTTTTTTTGAACCATGCGAGCATGACTGTAGCACTGCACATTATTCATCAGCTTTGCAGAATTCTGAATGTTTATAGGTGCACAAAACCACAGTTCAGAAAACACACATGGAACTGGTCATCTTCAAACTCCGAAGTCCCAACAGAAAATTGAACGTTACTGAAAGAGTTTTTCCATTGTATCATATCTACTTAGCAACATCAAATTATACAGCTTCTAAGTGAAGTTCAGGTATTAAGCTAACCCTCAAAATCTTTCTGCCTAAGTGAATCAAATCCTCATTTTTCTCTCCAAAGCATCCCATGTCTTCATCACCACGGTAATTCTAACATCTCTACTCCTGAAACTTCATGCTTTTGTGACACATTTCTGTTTTCTTCCACCTCTGTATTAAAGCTGCTGTCCAATCCTGTTGTAGAGAGCAAAATATTTTCACGTGTCCTGATTGTCTCCCTATACTCATTCACTGTATTTCTCCTCCTCAACTATTTAAAATGCCTTTTCTAAGGACCCCTTGTTATCATAACCATCCTTAATGTACACAAAATTCAACTACTAAATTTAGAAACGTTAAGGCTCTTAACATACATCATACTCTTCTTCTGATATTCTTAGGACCTACCTTCTACTATTCTCCTTACCCTTAGAGAAAATATGTATGTACAAACACAGCCAACATGTATACAGTGATATTCTCATAATTCAGATCTCTCATTAAAGCTCATTTACTTGGTAAATCTCAGCGCTAACTTTTGAAGTAAAGATTTCATTCTTTTAGATAATTCTGAAGAGCTAATTAAAAAGGCAATCATGCATAAGGCTTTTATTTCTCCTCCATGAGGAAACCATGTCTCATCTTCGAAGGACGTGGCCCCTTCTTTTATGCACCACCAGGATTTCCCTTCTCCTTCTTTTTGCTGCACTGTTACTGTGTTGACTGTAACTCCAAAGCCAGATTCCTTCTCCAATAGATAAACAACGGTTTATCTGGCTTTTACTATGAGTTAAACTTTTGCTATGAGCAAATGTTTTTAAAGGAATACATTCTGTATTTCTATGGTCAATGTCAATGATACTTTTATCATAAATCTCTAACAAAACAAGTTAAAACAGATCATATAGATCAAAATATAGATCAGATAGAACAGATAGACCAAAACATATATATTTATCTGCATTGATAATATTTTTTAAATCTTTAATTATTGTTTAAATATTATCTCAGTATTTACAATATTTCCCATAAAGCCTACAAAAATAAACAGAATCGTGTAAGTATGGAGATACACTTACTTGCCTAAGATAACATTACAGCAAGTCAAGGGTGGACTTCCAATTTATCTATGTGGAATTAAATGTTGTAAGCATACTAAAAGTTTCAAATAACTAGACAGCAGTTCATAAAGTATTATATAATTATAATTGTAACATAAGATATTACAATTAAAAATACACATTAACTTGGACACTAAGATAAGGACAGAAACATTGAAAACAAGCTATACCTTCTTTATCTGCTTCAGCATCTTTAGTTTCAATGTCTGTGCTCTGTAGTGTTTTTTCATTATTGCTGCAATGTGGTAACTCAGCTTTCACTAGATCAGCTCCTTGACTTTCACTGGAAGCTTCCGTTTTCTCCTTTGGCTGATCTTCAGATGAAGATTTTTGCCTGTTACTAGACCCATCACTGTTGTCACAGGGTGAAACAGCATCAACTGATTCCATTTTACCATTATGACATGCTGGAATAGGTATACCCTCTGAGCTGTGTACAGATGTCTCTCCATTCACACAGTCCCCTTTCGATGTAGAGTCCTTCCTTAATTCCTTTTCAGTACGCAGGGTAACACTGTCGGTTATTAACAGAGATTCATTTGAGCTCTCTTCTTCTGTGGATGCAAAGTTGTTTTCCTTTCCTGATGTCCCATTGTTAAGCCTCTGCTCTGCATCTATATCCATAATATCACAAGAAGATTCATCATTTGTCATAGAGAGGTCTCCTGTTTCCTCCCCATTCTCCTCAATGCAGTCAGTGCTGATCTCTAGCTCTCCATTTTCCAGCAATTTACTGTCCTCTCCATGATTTTCATCATCAGCAAACTTTGCATCATCTTCATCTTTCTTTAAATTATTGACTTTCCTCTTCTTAATAATGCCTTTGCCCCACTGTGAGCGCCGTCTTGATTTTCTCCTTATTCGAACTGAATTACAATGAAAAAAAGAAACTTTTAGGTGCACAGGTACCCCTCAGTAAACAGACTAGGCTATTAGAATATGCTGTAGCGTGTGAGGCAATCAAACGTGTTCACATTTCAAGGAAAAAGAAAGCTGTCTGATGATTTCAGTGTGAGCAAATTACAGATACCAAGGACTTTTAGAAGTATAAGGAGTGAACACTCAGTCATGTACACAATTCCTACTCTAAACTATGGCATCAAGGAAGCCTTGCTAGCCTTTCCTTCTAAATGTATTTTACATATACCCGTTTGTAAGTAAAGAAAGAAAACAGCTAAGCAATGATGTCGAAGTCAGTCAGTCATTTTCATTTGGGTAATGCAAATGAAACTCTAAAGACAGTTTTTCTCATTTTCCCTTTTTAGAACCTCAGCAATCTGAAATCCTTATACAATGAAACAAATGGAAGTGCAATCCATGGATTCATAGAATAATTCAGGTTGGAAGGGACAGCAGGAAGCCTCTAGTCTGACCTACTACTTAAAACAGGGTCAGCTATAAGAGCAGACCAGGTTGCTCAGGGCTTTATCCAGCCACGTATTAAGAGGGGCTGTGAGGGGTGGGGTGGTGAAGCTGGGGATGGGACGGCAAAGGGGGCTGCCCGGGGGGGGGCTGGAGAGACACCGCTGCTCGGCTTTTCTCAGAGGGGCCCTGGGGCAGGGCAAGAGGCAGTGGCACTGGATGCATCAAGGGAAATTCCAATTAAATAGTGGGAAAAATATTTTCAACACGAGAACATTTCAAGCACTCGAACAGGTTGCCCAAAGTGGTTGTGAAACCTCCATCCTTGGTCTCTTCCAGACCATGCCCTGGCAATCGCATGAAAATGTGGAGGTTTCTGGCCATCCCCTGCTCAGAGCAGGACTGGTGTTTCACCAGGTTGCTCAGGGCTTTATCCAGCCACGTATTGAAAACCTCCATGGATGCAGACTAAATGACCTTCATGAGCATCCTGTACCAACGCATAATTATCATAACAGCGAAAAGGCTTTTTGCCCTATATCCAGTCAGCATCTCTCATTTCAATTTACGTCCACTGTCAATTCAAAGACATCTTCACTGTTTAAATCAGCTAAATCTCCTCAATCTTCCATTCACTCCCACCTCGGTACTCAAGTTCACTGCATCGACAAAAGATGGTTTTAAAAAATGAGGATCTTTGTTTTAGACCCGGACCATTTAGCAACCCTGTCCACAGCAAGACCTCACAAACATTTGCATTTATGCAATGAGTCTGTAAGCAGAAGGGAAAGCATAGGTCCTTAAACTAGCCTCATCACCAATGCCTTCCCTCCATATTATGCAACTCAACTTGAAGCAACATTTTTTCATTACTTCTGCATCCTTACTTTTTCATTTTTCCTACTTCTTATTTGTACTTTCTATGCCTTTGAAAAATCACATAATAAGCTTTTTTTCAGAAAGGGCTTTTTTTTTTTTTTTTTTAACTAACCTATTTGCAGTGGGATACAATTATCTAAAAGAGGTTTGGGGGCACATTTGCAATATGATCAGCAAATACAGAAGGAAGACCATTCAAACCTAATACTATTGTCAATGTCCTTTTCAAGAGCACTAACAACACACAGCTGAAAAGACTTTGGAAGAGATTGGGAAAAACTGAAACTTCTACATTCAAATTCAAGTAGTGATGCAGACTGCTCATACTTTTGCAAAATTGCTGAAGTTGCGGCCAAATGGTTATAACTGAAAATCACAGCCAATAGTTACCAGAGATTAACAAATTTTCTTCCATTTCAAAATGAACTCCTATGTTGAGCACCTCCATAATGTTCTTGGTATTTGTAGGTTGCTTTGATTTATGGGGTATTAAGTCCTAGATCTGTGTCTGCCAACCTCACACTGAGTTACAAAGATCTTGCTTTGAAGATACAAGCACTATGAAGGTACAAGTGTTGAGAATTAATTCACAGAAGCTCAGAGGAGCACAGCTGTACTTCAGAATTTCTTCCCCATGAGTGGCGTATGCAAGTTTAACCACTACATTAGGAATAAATCTTAACCTTTTAGCTTTAAAGCTATCTAAAGATACAATCACATTGCAATAAAAACACAGTCTCACTTGGAATGTGTATTTACTGTTACAAATAATCCTTATGGAGAACTGTAAGATTTGAGGAAAAAATCGCCTTTCTCCAGCTATTTTGTCGATTTGATAGCGGCTTCTAACGTCAGTGTCACTGTTTTATTAATGACAAACTACAACCTATTCACGTAACTTTTCAGGAGCTCATGTAATCTTCCCCTAGATTGTGCAAGAAATTTTCATTAATAACAGAAGCAGCAAATCTGAAACTAAAGAGTGAAATGTAAACTTACAGACAAAAAAAAGTCCCCCATTAGGCAATGGGTTCAGCCTCAGGTCAACTCCAAAGATGGGTAAATAAAAGACAGAAGGGGAGTAAAAGTCTTTTAAAGGAAATTTAGTATGTCCTCAAGTGTATAAATTAATAAGAAAGTTGACATTTTTAAAGATACACTAATTTTGGCTTTTTAGGCTGACTTTGCTGTAAGAGTCAGATATAATGTCAAATGTATTTGACATTTATTATATGAATGAATTGTACTTTAAATATGCCCATTTTACTAATGCATCCATTTTGTTTACCCTGTGAGCTCTACCTGGGATGAGAACCCGTAATTTGTCTAAACACACGGTTTCATTCCTAAAATTCCTAAGTGTGGGAGAAATCACATTAAAGTAAAATGGAATTAATCCTTGTATTACAAATGTCATTAAATTTCAAGTCTTCCTAAACGACAGTCAGCAAGTCCAGCTCGCTCGCTCTCTCATGCAGTACTATTTGAACATACATTGTGCATGTTTTTTATTGCTGTTTTTAATTAGGACAAAGCAACCACAAAGAGTGCCGCAGAAGATGTCCTCCCACGAATTCTGAAGTTTACACTGCATCAAAACCAGTAAACGCAGGAAATTTTTCAGCTACCTCATCAAATTACGCACACAAAACAGAGCGTTGGTTGAAACACTGCTATTACTATAAACCTGGTGTTATGTCACGATATTAAAAAAAAAAAAAAAAATTATACCTCCAACCAACTCCTGAGATTTAGGAAAGAACAGCATTTCATTGCCAGATACTGCAGAACATGCCCTCCTAACATTTAATAGTATTTGTACTGACAAAAGCAATAATCTAGCTACTTTGGGTTTTCACCCACATTTAGCCAATAGAACTCAGTTAATGCTGAAGTTTTTCCCTCCCAGACTCTTACCAGCTCTTATTTCAAGGCAGTACCATCATCACCTGAGCCACCCAGACCTGTAACCAACAGGTGACCAACACTTCTAAAATCCTGATTCTTTTTGTCCCCATACTTCTAAGAATCAACTTTTTTCCCATCATTTAAATAAAAGCCTTCTTGCTTTCAACCCCTTCCATCCCAGCCACTGAAGCCTTGTCTCCTCAGACTTTCATAAATCCACCTAAATCTCTCATTTGAATTTATTTAACACAAAACTGCCCACATCATTTTCATGACCTCAGTGAGGTTCTTAGCCCCCTACCTAACACATCTTTGAGCCCATTCACCAGTTTTTATGTTCTTGATCATATTGAAAGTAGACTTCTAGTTCTTAAATTTAAACTGTCCCTTCAAAACTGTGCCTTTTTGTTCTAACCTAGGCTGTATCGCTCTGTGCAAAGGAATGTCTTTTGGAATATGAGAAGAAATTTTGGGTTCAGATCCTTAGCACCCCTAACATCATTACACAGATTTTTCCTTTTTACAGACAGACAAACCTCTAGGAAGAGTGAAAAGTTGAGCAAGGAATACAACATTTAAAACCAAAACCCACCACCAGTCTGTCTTTCTGTCCTGCCCACTTCCCCCAGCAAAGCTAAGGGAGTGGTACAAGTAGGAGGAGTGTTTAATGCAGCAAGGAACCACGTCACCAGGCGTAGAAGTCAACGCCAGATTTCATCATCTGGATTGATTCTCTTTATATCTACTGGAAAGAAAAAGGCACTACTGCGAGAATAACATGGACCTGAGAAGCTGTCATATGAGGCAGGAAAGAGTAAAATTTATCTCTGAATCCTGCAAGACAGTTGAATATGATTCAAAAAGGAAGGAGCTACCACAGGGTAAAACTGATGCAAAACTAAAGGGCTAATGGGCAGGAACTAATGGGTTAATGGATTGCTGCTAAAAAATAAACTTAACCCAGAGTCCCCTCTCCTCTACCGTAATGCTGATATTTTATAAGAGTGTAAACTAACAAGAGCAGAATCCTACACTTTTTATTTTATAGTCAGTATGATCCATGACACATTAAAGTTTTCAGTAAGTAACAGAATGGGATAGCTATTTACAGCAGAAAAACTTCGAGTTAACTTTGTAAAAAAAATTAATAGGAGTATATACAATTGCCTTAATACCTTTTAAATTACTTCTTTTAAAACTACTCATCTGAAATCTACCCATTGATACCCAGTCTTTTGGCAGTATTTGTGCCAGAGGCAGTAGAAATACTATTGTCAGAAGAATCCTGCTTCATAGAACTGAGTTTCTATAACTCAAACTATTCTAATACCAATTATTCACACATGAATACATTCACTTGCCTTCTGAATTGCTGAACTCTTCTCTCTATAATCTCTATAATCTTCACAAAACCTCTGTAGGTTTGCCAAGGGGATCCTCATTGTAGCTTCCTTCTGGTTTGCTTTTTTGTAAATCGTTATTCAGAATTTTTAATGGCAATAAATACCTGTTTGACCACGAGTCACATAACATTTCACTTGGGTTCACATGAAGTAGGTATCAAAAAGAACCCTTCCCACTCTTTTTTTTTTTCCCCCTAAGCTGCACAGTCTATGCAGATGGCATTTTTTTGAAGTGCCATGTAATACAATGTAATTAATCACTGAATACAAATTTAGTCTACTTTTTTTTAAACAGTAAGTGGGGTTTCTCAATT